CATCAAGCCAGAGCACATTGTTACATTTTTAAATATATCAAACTATTGATCATAAGCAAGCCAATTACCTCTGTGCATAGCTAAAGCTGTGCAGTGAGCATATTTGAGCCATCGCTGCATCCACCCATCCATTCTGCACCGACCGGGCAAAAACCTCCCAGCCTCCAGCAGCCGGATCGTGAGCTCCCCACGGACACAGCCCACGAGGGATGCTGCCACGGGCTCCAGCAGCATTCCCAGTGGCCTGGTCAGCATCATTTTGGCGTGCCTGCTTGCACATACGAAATGCATTCAGCACAAACAACTTCGTAACAGCGTGATGCGCTGGGAGATGTAATTAAACACAAACAGCACCCAGCTGCAAGGAGCACGCAATGCGCATCTTTTATCTCTGAATTTGGGTACCCGTGTTCGGCAGTGACATCCGTCTCGGGGCTGAAGCCAGTCACCACTATTTTAGTGCTAACAAGAACCCTGTGTACTCGCAGAGCATCTCCCAGCTGAAGATCCCAATACACGGACAAATATTTTATCTCCAGAGGCTTTGAGAAAGACGGTAAGCATAATTGCTACCCCAGCCCACTGAAAACACAAGAAGAATTTCTTCAGCTAGCCCCAAAACCTCCATCAGTTTGAATTGGACCGCAAGATAACTTCAATCACCCTGAGGCTGAAGCCCAAGTGAGGTTAAAGCATCTTCCCTCAAAGCAAAATATCCCCTCCAGCTCCTATTAAAAAAAAAACAAGCCCAACACCCCCCAGTTACAATAATGCAGGCACACAGCCCCAGACGTGCACGCATCACACACGGCACAGCCCCTGCAAAACCGCCGCTGCCGTAAACCAAGCCTCATCTTACACAATATTTGGGTCGCAAGTTTTATAGGGAATAAATATCACACTTCAATTTCATGGTAACTTAGGAGGGTTGACTGGCAAATACCATGGCTTTTACATGGTTCTACCAATTACGGAGCAATTACATGTAACCTAGATCTGGAGGACATACAGTAGAGATATAATGTATTCCTCTCCGTGTTAAAAAGAAAGAGGCAGTTAATAGAAAACACTTTTTTTTTTTTTTTTTGAATTATAAAACTCTCCTATTAGAACCCACAATATTCCTGGGTGACGTTATTAAAACTCCACATCAATCTCCAACCCAACGCAAAGACTGCCACCCCATTAACACATCAGTTGTGGGACGATCAATAAAAATTTACTTTAAAATGTGCCATATGTCGCCTCCAACAAAGTTTTATTATTCAGATTCATCAGTTTGTACCTCAACCCCCGTGCAATTAAATCCCATTTAGCAGGACTGACCTCCTGATTTGAACTTGTCATTCCTACAGCTGGTTTGGAGTTTAACAGCACTTTTAAGTAATGAAAGCAAAACGTCTGCGAGTTGGTGGTGGAGCACGGTGAGCCCTCTGCCAGGAGCCCTTGGCGCACCTCTGCTGCCGGCACAGCTCTCGCACCAAAACAGGGTGAGGAGAAAAAAATAATAATAATAAAAAAAAAAGAGCGCAGGCACATTTTAACATGTTGTAGCATATTTGTAAACATCGTTAATCACGGATTAGCAGATGGTAATGTTAATTGCACCTGTGGAAGTAACAAGACCTCAAGGTTGATTACATTTACAAACTCCGATCATCGCTGCGGCGCGGCTGGAGGATTCCCCGCCGCACCCGGAGGGGCCGCGTGCCCAGGCTGAGCCCTCGCGCCCGATTTTCAGCACGGCCTCGTTATAAAGCTGCTGCAGAAAAATGGGACAATTAATGCTGGCAGAGACCTGCGCCTGTGCTCGTCAGGTGGGCACAGGGCTTAAGTATAACAGGGATGGTGCCAGAGATGCTTTAAAAAAAAATAATAATAATCAAACCTACAACTTTCTTGAAAGCAGCTGCAAATGAGAACGAGAAGCCCTGGAGCAGCCAAATCGATCTCATTCCACTGCACACAGCCCAGCTGCCCGCGGCGGCACGAGCACCAGGCACGAGCTCGGGGCAGCCCCGGCCGTGGCACAGCGCCGATCGTGGCACAGAGAAAATAGCTGTTCCCTGCCCAAAAACACTGCCAGCCCCTCTCAAGAAACCTCGTTAGGAGCCAGTCGAGGATTTTATGGAATGATTTGGTTTTGGTCACATTAATAATCTGTGCACAAAACCTAAATTTGGGGCATTAGCTGAGCTTCTCCAAGCCTGTTCTCCCTTGAGTTGATTTTGGGGGATGAAAAGATTTGTGCTCAGCCTGGTCTGAGATTAAAAAGACAGGCGCGGAGCGCATCTTCTGAGCTAGCAAGGACAAATATTTTGCCACTGTGCTTAGAGACACTTTGATTATTGAGAAATCATTTTGGAAGGGCAATTACTAAATTTTAAAATCAATTTGGTAAATATGCTTCTGAGAGGAATCCATGACAAGCAGCAGGGAGGGAAGAATTGACTTTCAAATTACACACACACACTTTATTCATATCTAAATATCAAAGAGACTCTATGTACAAACAGAAGTAATCAGGAAACATGTTTTGATCTTGCTGATGTACACAAAAAATGACAATTAATGTCCTCCTTTATGATATAAAGCCGGGAGTTTTTTACAGTTACATTACAGGGACGATTATAGTTGAGCTTAAGGCTAAAAATAATGAAAGACTATAAAAACTACATTTTAACGTTTAAAAATATCCAGGAAATTAACTGGAGAAGCAGGCAATGATCCAATTAATGGATCGCATTTATTAGATCGGGGGCAAATCACGCAGCAGAAGGCTCCATCTCAAAAGGTGCCACTCTGCAGAGGTCCCCGTGCTCCTCCCGGCAGCGCGAGGCCTCAGGCGTGCTGGGTCCGCAGCAGGATGCGGCTCAGGCAGGAGGAGAGGTGTCAGCTGTGCCAGAAGCCGAGCCCATGTCCATGAGCTGGGCACCAGCGATGCAAAGCAGGGCCAAAAGTTAACGCCGAGGGAGATGTGCTGAATGCAGCGGCTGTAGCTGTCCAGGGTGGGATTTACTGCACTCGCAATGACGCCCGTGGAGCAGCAGTCAGGCATGGTCTGAGCCCCAGCCCTGTTTGTGCACTCAGATCCCCATTTCCCTCGCCTTGCACCAGCAGCAGATGCACTCCCTGGATGTGCCAACAGATCTGGCAGACAAACTGTTAAAAATAACCATAAAGCAGCAGAGCTTCTTAAAATGCAAAGCTCATACAGCCCCCGGTAAGCCCAGTCTGACGCTCCAGTGCCACTGCAAGGTGCTGCAAGACAGCGGCTGCACAGGGCAACTTGTGGGGAGTCGCTGCAGAGATGGATGCTGAGCCACCAGAGGAGCGACTGCAGGGATTCTGATCCATCCTGCCTGCAAGGCCTGGGAAACCCACTCGTTGGCACGTTTAAAACAGGACCAGACTGCTGGAAACTGCTCCCAGAGGAAAACCGATCACAGCGCAGGGGGACGGAGAGACCCGGCCAGGCCCCCACCCCAGGGCTCCTGGCAATGTCCCCACACTCACCCCACTGACAGAGCCACCGTGGGCACCAAGGTCTTGAGGCTTTTGGGGGTTCAAAAAAGTAACTGCTCCATCGTTACTCACCTGCCTCCTCATTAGGGAGGTAAACCAGCACGGCTACGCGTGGTCTGAGGGTGCGCGGCTTTCCCAAACCTAAGCAAACTTAATGAAGTGCCTCCTCTTATTAAAGTACTGCACAAAGAAATTATTGCTTTTTTAAAATGAGAAACTGCAGTTTGTATGAAAACAGAAAAAAAAAAATCTATATACACTTATCTATAGATTAAGAATAGAGCAAAGGCTTTATCCTCATCCCTGCTGCTCAGAAGGACTCAGTTAGCCCCAAGTGCTGACCCTGTCTTGCGAAAAATGAGCAAATCTAAGCCACGGGCACCCTCTGCTGGGGCAGACACGGCTGCATGATCAGCGCCAGCAGGGAAGGCTTGCCAGCAGCCTCGCTGGCCCCTTGCCTTTTCATTTCAGCATTAAAAAATAAAAATAAAAAAGATACATTCAGCCCACAAAGCGACTGCTACGCACCTGCCCAGGAGCCATCACCCCTGCAGTCCACCAGACTTTCTGCTGCTGTTTGGTGAACAATTTCGGACGCAGGCACAGAAGCACGTCTGGCACTGCAGCAGGCATTTTTGGAGGAATTTGGCTTCTGGCCTTTTGTACTGAAGAGGCCGAAGGGGCAGCCACAGCTCAGGATATGTGCTGCCACACACCAGGCACCCTCTCCAGCTGCAGTGACAGAAGTGAGCGCTCGACACTACTGAACAGCAGCAGGTTTCAGTGCGAGGCTGAGCAGGATCTCACCTGCAGGCCATCCCCTGGCTGGGCGATGCTCCTCGTTTCTCCTCGGCCAGGGAAGCCCCCAGAGCTGCTGCAGCAGCAGAGCAACGTGTCCTGTCCCAGCCCTGCAGCCGCCACCACAGCCAGTGCCCTCGGCAAGGCCGGCCAGCCTCTCCCAGGGACACATCTGAAAAACCCCCACATCCACAGACCAGTTTACAGACTTCATTTAGCTCAAAGGAAAGTCCTAATTAGTCACTCTGAGTGATTTACTTGTTCATTTGGAAGGGGGGAGGGGGGAGACTAAGCTGAATTGTTTGAAATTATCCCTAAAGGGCACTGTAAATTAAGTGTTAATGAGGAATCCTATGCAAAGGGCCACAGTAGCTAAATAAAATAATTAAGGTGCTAAGCGATAACATTCATTTGGTTCTCAATAATTTAGCCAGCCTGGTTTTCAACCAGGATATTTGCAAATGAAACCACCGTCACCACTCTCCCTGCACCCACGATGCCATCAGTGGGGACTGTGGTGCTGGGGCAGCTCAGCATCCAGCTGCATCTCGCCCACCGTGGAAAGAAAAAATTCCCTAAATGAGGAGAACAAGCTCCACACCCCCCTTCCCACCTGAAGGGAGAGCCCCGTTCCACTGATCACACTCAGGGTTTATATATGACACAAGAAGGATTGATTTCAGTCTACAAGAGATCTTCACAGAGGCTTTATTTCAACGGGCTGCATTTTTCCCCACTACAGCTCTTTGGAACAGGTTGTGTCCATCCTTTGGCACGGCCGCAGATTCATGTTACAATCAAGTACAAAACGCTGCACTTGAGACTTCCAAATAGCAATATGTAACAGGGGAACTGCCTCGGGAATAAATTGCTATCGAGTAGTCCCAAACCGAACCTGTTTGTTGTCAGCACCCTCCTGGCAGCCAGGAGGGTGCCAACCAAGAACTCCTCTCCACAGCCCGAGTAATGTAAGTCCCCTGGCTATTTTATTGCAAAAAACAAAGGATTGGGCTGTCTGCTTTTAAAACCTAGCTTTGTCTCCTCTTCCTTACAACCATTCCTCTGAGGGTGGGAGGTGTTACCTACTGCTTGAAGGCATCTGACTTCAGCACTGAGCCAGGGCTCTGGTGGCATTGTGCACCAGCCAAAACACAGGTCGGGCCAACGGGGCTCACCCTGTACATTGTAGAGATGGTGAAAAGCCTGGAAGGAGCAATTCCACATCCACACCGACTGGAAGCAGCCATGAAACGCCAAGCGGCCTCCCTCTGCCAAAGGTCCAGGCTGGGAGACCTCGACCACGTGCCACGATAAAAATCAGTCACTGCCTCAGCTTTTGGCTGCAGATGGAGTGCAGGAGAATACCTGTAGCAAAGTTAAAAACAAAAAACATATATTTTAAAAAAATTAAAAGAAAATCATTCTGAGAGCCTAGATGCTCGAGATTTTTAAGTGCAGAAATTTGGACTGATGCCCTTGTGCATCAGAAGTATTTTTACCAGTAGCCACAGAGACGTTCAGCGACTCGATCCCCGGGTGAAGCGCTCTGCCAGGGGGAATGGCCAGCATCCGATGGCACAAGAGCTGCGTCTCCAGGGAAAGTCCGTCCCCTTCATTACCTGCAGAACACAGACACCGCTCAGGTCAGCTCACAGCTGCTGCCACGTTCCTTCTTCCCTGTCACAAGCACAGGTCTTGCTAATGCTCTCTCACCACTCACCAACCTCATCCACCCCACCGAACAACAGCCAAGAAATACCAGAGACGAGCTGGGCGCCTTCCCTGCCATCCCTGGTCCCCTCCAACCTCCCTGGCCCCACTCTCCAGTACCTGCAATGTTCCCAAAACCCTCACAACACACCCAATAAATCACAGAGACTTGGAGCTTGAGTGCAAGCACCCCCCATGCGAGCACCCACGGTGCCAGTGGGCAGCTCCCCACGTACACGGGCTGCTGCCAGAGGCACGAGGCAGATGAGGCCACTGGCCTGCTGTGGCACAGCAAATCCCACAGCCCTATCGGCAGCGACAGGCTCAGCCTTTTCAGCGCAGAGTACCACCAGCTGGGTGCAACTTGTGAATGCAGACAGTTTAACCAGAGGCTTCAATTGATTAGTTGTTAAACCATCCAACAGCCCTGATATGTTTGGGCTGATACACTGGTGAAACAGAGTTGAAATCTATCCCAGGTCATTAGTAGTTGTTTGACTCACACTGTCACAAAGGGAAATGGAAAGGGAGAGGCTTTAAACAATCCTATGTGCAGACAAGTGAAAATGCAGAAGACCACAGACCTCCCAGCCCGCTCAGCTCCCCAAAGACTTCTTCCACATTCATTATTTAGAGCTACACAGACAGCTACACGGCTGCAAGCATACCTGGCTCATTTCAAAGACGTGCCCACCCTCTAACAAACCAGGCTCAGCATGCTGGATGCCAAACATTCCCCTTCGACAGCCAGACCCGGGGCCCAGCTGAACCCCAGACTCACCCAGGGCAGCACCACTGGGGCACACGCTGTGTGTGCAACCAGGCCTCGCTCAGCTCACCTCCACTCATCTGAGGTTTAACAGCATCACGGATGCTTAAGGCACTGTCTCTGCCACTGGAGACTCACTCCTCAGCTGGGCTGAGTTGCCACAAAGTTCTTCCCTTGGTGTCTGCTTAGAGCTCTTCCCCAGCAGGTCCTGTGCCCGGTCTCTACATATTTATCTGTGTGAGACCTCCTCCCGCACGGCACAGGGCGTGCTGTTATTACCACTTCACAGACTGGATGCTGAGGCCCTGTCTCACGTTTCGCTGGCTGATCTAACAGGCAAGATGCACTCTGTGTAAGGAAAAGCGTGCATTTGGTCATGCATCTTGCATCACCTTCCCAGAGAAAATAAGCAAAAGCGCCCTTTTGCTGGGGTGAATGAACCTTCAGAAAAACAAAATCCCATCCTAACCCTTCTTTTCTTGCTGCTTTAAGCCAGCAGCGCAGACAAGGCATAGCTGAGGGATCTGAGGCCACCTGGGAGGCCTGGGTGACACAGGGAACTGAAGCCAGGGCTCCCACAGCCCGCCCTGCCTTCATCACTAGACTGTGGCTCTCTAGGGATGCTCCAAGGAAATAAAAATATATACACTAACCTACTTTTGCCTGATTCAACGCAGGAAAGTTTTAGATCTTACAGCACTATTTGTCTCCTGAGCCTCTCAAAACCACATTCTCACGGGGCTCTCCAACTGGGACAGCAGCTATTAGCAGAGGTGCCACAGTTCCTGGAGCAATCCCCTCCTCTCCCTAATACGGGCCTTACGATTCCTAATAAAGGCAGCAATTTTGCTTCCAGCTTTTACAAAGCTTTTTATGGCTCTAGCTGCTTAAAATAATTAGGACCTATAAATTCAGGGCAAAAAGACTTGCACAGACTGTGACACGTGGGAGGGAGTATCGACCAAATCAGAGAGAATCCTAGTTTATACCAGTGAACAAAACGCTTCCCACTTCAGATCTTTGGCTTTGATCTCATGGTTTTGTCTCTCAGTGACAGAGCACCTGATACTGTCCTTAATTATTTGGCAATGCCTGCTCCCCATGCAGTACTGCCCAGGACTTGGTCTGGTGCTCACAGGAGCCTGTAATAACGCACCACCCCTCACCTTCACACTCCGACTTGCCATATGGGATCAGACTCATGCTCCAAACACTCCTGCTCCTCCAAACCACACAGCACACTTTGCACCACAGCACATGAAAGCCTGAGCTTGGCTGAAATGACAGAACAGGAGTTTCCCTGCCCCTCCTGCAATTAACACCAGTGTAGCAACTGCAGGTTTTGGTGCAGGATGTCCAAAGCTAGGGGCTGTGCTGAGGAAGGTGCACAACGAGCAGCTTGATAAAACCACCACTTCCACAGCCTTAAAACCCAAGCTGAAGACTGGATGTGTAAGAACAAACTACCCAGCAACTCATCTTCCCTGGCCACCGAAGTGCTCCCAACCTGTTCCTGTTCACACAAGGCACACGAGAAACTGCCTGAAGGGCACCTGGCCTGCTGGTCACCTTAGGCAACACCTCTAGCACAGACAACATTCACCTGGGCTCTCCAAATCATTCTCTTCCAAGCCAGCGAGGATGCCAGGGGGGTGAATTCAAGTCTGCAAATGCTTAACTTACAAGACAATCTATGCAATGCTCGCTACCATGCTAATATATCTTTGCTGCTCTCTATTTGTGGCTGCAGGTACGCTACATATTCAGATCTAGGATGTTTCTTCAAACAACCCCAGCATCAGACAACTGTAATGTTCAATTTTCTTTTCAGTGAAGAGTTAGTGCTCAGCAGAGAGTTGAAATCATTACTGCTGCAAGGTCTGGGAGCTCTCCTTATGCATCTACCCATCAGCCTCCAATCTCCCTTGACAAAAGGATATTTGGACTTTTTCCTGGAGAAATCTCTCATAATTCAAGGTAATGACACCACTGCCACTTTCACCCCCTTCCTTTCTCTTGGTGTTGCCGTTGTTTCTGGGATGCATTTCTTTGTGGTCCATCAGCATCGCTGCCAGCCTCCCCATCCCCTTTATAATATAGCTTCACACATCTTGTAGAGATGCCAGATTTTCTGCATTGTCTTGTCAGTATTTCTAGGAGTTCAATAAACATTTTAATTAAAGGAATGTCTTCTGAGCCAAGAAAACCGCAGCACGGGGCAGGATTACAGCCCCTTGATGGCTCGTCGCCAGCATGACACCACTTCCAAGTGTAAAAGCTCAAACCAGCTTCGTGCCAGGTGACAGACACGAAGCGGGGGCTATAGGATGGCCACACAGGGGTGCCTAGAGCAGCACTCCTGGGTGAATCCCTATCTCTGGCTGCCACAGGGCCAGTACTCCCCTTCTCTTCACCTTCTGGCAGGCTGCACAGCTCAAACTGCCTACAAAAGGCAGCATCCTTTGCAAGTTTCACAGCACACAGCTCTGGCAGGGAGGAGGTTAAACCTGCCCTTCCTACCAGCACTGCAGTGGCCAGCAGCTCCTGCCTTCTCACAGGCACACACAAGCAGCCACAGACCGATCTCGGTGGTGGTCTCGGCCACAAAGCCCAGCCTTTTGTTCCGATCATCCCCAGCATCATCTCCTCATCTCCAGACCGGAGCACAGACACAGGACAGCTCATCCTCACAGCCTCAGCACAGCACAAGCAGACATGTACCTCCTGGGTCTCTCTCACCCAGGTCTGTGCTTGGCCAACACAGAAAATCCAGGTTCAGGGCCCTACAACAGGATCAACAGCACTGCAGAACGCAACGCAAAGCAACGTGCTGTGGTTGCACTGACCCAGTCCTGCCCTGCTATCGAGAACTGCCACGTAGTCCCTCTGCAGTTATTAAACTCCCTGTTCATCTGCACAAACTGTTTTGTTCTTTACAGTTCCTACTGGGAAACCTCCAGGCTCCCCCCTTCTTCTTGGCCCCTGTTTTATTTGCCCACAGATCACGCTGGTGCTTCTCGCTCAGCTTTTTTTTTCCAGACCAAAGCGTAACAGAACGTAACAGACCTGCAACTAGCTTAGGGGATGACATGCTACCCCGATCAGTTCCTCACACACATGCTTCCACCAAGCCCAAAGCTCTGTCAATTGACAATACCTATTACTATAATAATGGGTTTATTCCACCGAAATTCCGAGCAACTGATGACAGGAACGTTTTCCACCTCTTCGGGCTTGCTCACCGTTCCCAAAACTTCCCAGCCTTCTGCAGCTTTAGCCTGAGAACAGGAAAGGAAATACATGTTAAAAACAACAGCAACTTTTCAAGCTTAAAAAGAAAGTAAGATATGTACATAACCAAATAAATGTTTTAGACTTGTAGTTAAGCTGACTGGCCTTTTGACACCCCTTGCATTTTTACCACCAAAGTCCTACTAGTACCAGGACACGAACCTTGAAGGAGGAAAATGAACAAAACAAACTAAAAGCGGGTTATTTTCCTCCTGTTGTTTGTTCCAGTTTATCAAGCAAACAAAAAGCAACTAGAAAGCTTTTTCTGCCAGTGTAACAGTTCTAGGAGGGTTTTTGGCAGCAAAGTACACAGAAAGAGTAGCGTTAAACAAATCAGCATAATGCTAATGAACAGAGCAATGTGGCACAAGTTCTCAAGCGCAGCCTCAGCCATCAGAAGCCCCCAGGAACATTTTCAAACACAACTACACATTTTTCAACCTGGATGCCAAAAATCAGCTCATATAAAAAGCAGGGCACTCAACACTCAGTGCTTCACACAACCAGAGAACCAGCCTTCCCTGCCTCATCCTAGTGAAAAGAACCTTAATTATTTGTCTTAGAAATCCATTTTAACAATAAAAGAGCCGCTGCTTCTTGCCAGCTTCATTTCCTGTGAAACTGGTGCTTTTTACATTAAGTTATATCAAATTTACACCAGCCAGGCAATGCCAAGGGTTAGGCCGGTGAATCTGGGTCCAATTAAATGAACTGCTGCAATGGCTCCCAATGTTAATAATTCAGGCTTTACAGTAACAAAGTGATTCTTCCAGCTGTTTCAATTAAATATCAATGTACTTTATGTGCCTTTCATTTCATCATCCTCTAGAGCTCCAACGGCCACACACCTATGGTACAGCTGAACGCTGGTTTTCTAGCACCAAGCTTCCAGGCTTACCCCTGCGTGGAACGTGATCAGCTCCTCCTCAAAGGGACAGAGGCATGCAGCTACCCCAAGAGAGCCTCTGTCCCTCTATGGATCCAAAGCTTCTGCCCTCCCACACCTTGCTGGACCCTCCAGCCCCACCGCTGTACTGGTCTGGGGCACCCCATGCAAACAGAGGAAGGCAGAGGAGAGCCTGTGGCTCCTCGCTCCCTGGCCACATCACCCAGCCTCACGCAGGCAGCATTCAGCTGGTTTCCAGCCCAGCCAGGGCACAAAGCCCCTCCACAAGAAGTCAGGGCAGTTGTGTGGTGCTACTGCAGGGGATGGACTCACACTAATTCAAAGTAACTCTCCTGTGTTTGTTTCAGCTTAAATCAGGTTTTTCCATGTGCATTCCCCTTTTGTGTTCTGCAAAGGCCCTTATCTCACCTCACAGCATAGGTACAGGGTAAAAAGCTTCTCAGCGGCTCACACCCAGCCCTGCTTTCTCCTCACTCCCCTGCTTCAAAGGCTGCCCAATGCTGCCATCGTGTGCCTGGCTCTGGGACGCTGCCTCTGTGTGCACTGGGAAAGACCTGCTGCAGGCAGCAGCACCAGCCCTGGTCCCCACGGACAGACAGGGAGACAGACCCCATCTTACCGAGTCGCAGCACAGACCCGCTGCTACCCTGCCAGCACCATCCTCCAGAAAGGACCCACAACACAGAGCAGCTGTCCCAAACGACCCGACACAACCGGACTGCGGGTGCGAGCCCATCATAGAGATCCTACAGCACAGAGCACTGGTAGCGAACAGGAACACAGAGCAGGAGAACAGAACGCTGCAAAAATTTGAGTCCTCTTTCTGCACCTCCTTTCTGTTCAGCACATGCAATATTTGAGGTTTCCCATATATATGGTACACTAAAATACTGGAAGAAAAAAAAACCAAAAACGTGGATCATTCTACCTTCAAAAAGCTCCGGAGGTCATCTGTGCTGTAGACATCAAAGACTTCCATAGCTCCAGAGCTAGCTTTGCTCACTGTCGGAGTCAAGGGGCAGCTGCAAGGGAAAACAAGAAAGGAAAAGTTTCGTATGATGGCAAAAGAGAAAGACCAGGAGGATTTTTGCTTCTCTATTTCCTTCTCTTGCCTGTGCAGCAGGCAATTCCATCTAGTCTGCAAAAGATCTCGTTTGCTATACGGATGTATTTTCCTATGGAGAATAGGAGGGCTCAAAAATTAACCCAAGAGATAAGTTGCAGCAGTTCTGTGCACAGTTGGACAATTAAAACACAAAATTAGTTTTTTAAAAAGGGTACCCAGGGAGGATCCCTACCAGCCTGGAACATGACAACCCGGAGCCTCCCTGCAGAGCGCAACGCGGAGCAGCAACTGCCCAAATCCAGTTCTCAAGCTCAGTCTTAGAAAGCCCTCTAAAGAAGCTGCTGAGCAGTGCAGGCTACAAAGCTCTTTGGGCTCCAGCAGGAATAGAAAAGAGAAAACTCAAGCACCGAAGAAGCAGTCACCCGAGCCCATACCTGTCCCTCTGGCTGGTCACCACTCTGTCCACCCCCAAGAAGTATGCAGAGCGCAGCAGCGCGCCCAGGTTCATGGGATCCTGGATCTGCTCCAGCACCAGCCAAACCAGCTGCCGGTTCGGACCCTCTTCACCCCCCAGCTCGGGCTCCTCGGCTTCCTCCAGACTCTTGAAACGCAGAGGGGAGGCCTCCAAACAAACCCCCTGGTGCACCCGGCCTCTGCACAGCTCATCCAGCTCTCTCCTCCGGACACGGTGCACGGGCACCCCCCGGGCCGTGGCCTGAAGGACGAACTCGCTGGTGACCAGGTGCTGAGCACCGGCACCCTCCTTGAGGAACAGCCTGAACAGATCCCTCCTGGACTGCGACAGGGCCATGGCGCACGGCGCGATGCCGAAGAGGATCTCCGAGCCCCTCGTCCTCTCCACAGGCAGCCCTTCCAGCCTCCTCCTGGCCTTTGGGACCTCACCACCCGGCCACCTCCACCCCTCCTGCCCTGCTCCTGCAGCCCCCCGGGGTCCCCTCTCACAACCCTCGACCCCCCTCCGTCTCCGGGGGTCCGGCCCCACGCGTGTCCGTGGGGAGCCGCGGGCATCGCCCCCCGCCTCAGCCGCCCCCTGAGGGTCCGCAGCTGGAAGCTGAGCGCCTGGGGAAGGCCCCGGCCCAGCAGCCAGCGGCCGGCAGCCCCACGGGGGGCAAATGTCCCGCGTGGGGCCGTGGCCCCCAGCCCCGAGCACCACCCTGGCGGCCCCCCGGCGGAGAGCCCGCAGCGCTTGCTCCATGGGCAAGGCGTGGGGTGGGGGATAAAAAATAATAATAATAATAAAAATAAAAACACCGGAGCCAGCCCCAGAAGCGGCGTGGGCTCAGGGAGGGGCCCACGCAGCCCCCACAGCGCCCCGGGAAGGGCCTCGGACACGCGTGGGCCCCGCCGCGCCGCTTCCGTGCTGTGTGGGGGGGGGGAGCGGGGCCGCACCACAGCGCCGCGGGGCGGCCGGCGGGGCACAGGGCCCGGGCCCGCTCCCCCTGACAGGGCCCTAATTAACGACGGGAGCTGCCCCGCCCTCATTAACGCCTCTCATTAGGGCGGGCCGCGCCTCGGCCTGGTGCAGCCGCAGCCTGGCTGGTCGCGGGGTGTTTCTGTCAGGGCCCGCTAGGCCACTGAAGCACAACACGCGGCTCTTAAAGCTCTTAACGATGAAGAGATTTTAAGTAAAATCATCTTTTTTTTCCTGTTGTCTGCCAAAGCCGGGTGCACTCATCGCTCCCCCACCCAAAATGAGAGCTGAGACCAGTCACCAGAGCTCACCCAGTGCCAGAAAACGTTTCCGAGATGCAGCAATGTTGCCATAACCGATGGCATTTATTGTATGACAAACAAGGAAAGCACAAGACTAGGAAAACGCTTTTAATGCTACAAATGCTCTCTACCTGTTTACAAGGTATCGAAAACCTCTGCCTCAAACCCAGCAAGGCAGCCAGCTCAGCTATTCACTACATATTTGCAAAAATGTTTTATTTTAATGAGAGCAAACCTGAGCTCGGGCATGTTCCTCCTCACTTGGACAAGCTGAAAGGGAGCTGGGAAGCAAAAAATGCCTTCCCTTAACAAGAGCAACAATCCATCCTGCTTCGAAGCGAGCACAGGAGATGGAAAAAGTTCAATATCCAAGTCTGTGCAGCAACAGCAGCTCATCCCTTGCATAGTTCAGCAGCTTACCTGGGGATTTCAGCAAACCTCTGTGGAGTACGGCTTCATTTGAGTGTGGATGGGCGAGTCCAGCCTCCACAGGTTATCTGTGAGACAACTGGATGCTATTCTGCTCTAGAAAGCAATTACAGTTTTTCCCCTGTGAAGAACCAAATTCGCATGTTTCTGTTTTGAAACCTTCACAAAAGAAAGGTTTAGCTGTGAACAGTAAAAAGGATGTTACGTCTTAACACAAAAACGACGACGTACAACAACAGAACCACAGTGTGCCTCTTTTTATTCTTTATTTTACAGTTCACAATTAGAAACCTACTGATAAATTACACAGTTTACCCTCTTGTTTGGGGTTTTGGAATGCCTTGGAGTCACGTTGCCAATCCCATCTCCCCCCAGGAAGATGCCAGGTTACATGAGGCAGAGCAGCCAAGCAACCCCTGCCAAACCCCTCTGTGCTTCGTGTGGGAAAGCAGCCAAAGGCAGGAAGTTACCTGGCAGCAGGAATTATCCCCCCCCATAACTCATTAAAAATGGAAATATATACTGGATATCATTTCAAGGATGAGAGGTTGTTTTATAGACTTGCAAACGTTACAAATATTCATGGGGGAAAAAATAACTTCCAGGGCCGCAGGTCAGCCAGGTTGTGTTTTTGCAGGGAGTGACTGCACAGACCGGCCCTTTTTCAGAGCCTTACATCTTAGGCAATTCTCTCTGAAGCCTCCTTTTACAGAGCAGAAAGGTAAGTCAGGTCCCTGCCTCAGCTATGCATTTCAACATCAGTTTCACACAGTTAGAGCCACCAATTCTGACTCCTCACTACTGCTTCCCACACCCTTGCTCATTTCACAAGTTCCTAATCTTCTCAACTTTTTCAGCCCTCAACTCCCAGTTCAGCCACCTTCTTTTCAAAAGATGGCACACTCTGCACAGTGCATGTGCTGAATTCAAACAAGCTCCTGAAAAAGAAACCTTATGGAAAACACCCAGAGTTTTTGTGCTATGTCTAGCTGAACATCACGGGGGTGTTATAGAAAGCACAACTGTGCTTGGACCTTCGTTACCCAAGTGCCTCTGAATTGAGCACCACGGTGGCACGGAGACTGATGAGCTTTTCCAGCTGGCACAGGCTCTCTCCGCTGCAGTGAGCATCGCTGGCTGTGTGCAGACCCGGACTGGCTCTGCTCCTTGCAGGACATGATCTAACTCAGTGCCGTGGGTGAAAGCCAGCTCTGTGCAAAGAACCCACTCAAAGTCACTGCCTCGGCAAAGTGGAGGAGGTCAGTGCATTAGAGTAGTGCAAGACTTTGCCACAGGGCACAAATTTCACTCAGAGTAAATTAAAAGGCCAAATCCAGAGACAAGGTTATGTGTACTTGCCAGGAGAAATTGGTGACAGATGATGAAGGGATAGAACACACCACGAGCGTGTATTTATAAACAGAAAAAAAAGAGGGACAAATTGCCTTTGTTTTTACAATTACCAAGGAATGTTTTACCGGTTCTCTCCTTGTATCCTTCTACAGTTGCTCCCTTTGGCACAAGGAATTCTATTTATCACAAGATTCATTAATAATAATACTTCATATCAACACTCAGCACTTACATAGCGCTTCTCATATTCAAAGTGCTTTACAAAACAGTTTGTGAGTCCTCACAACACCCCTGTGAGGTAGGTAAGTATTATTATCCCATTTTGCAGATGGGTAAACTGAGGCAGAGAGGTAACACGACTCGCCCAAGGTTACATAGGGAGTTGAAATTCATGATGTAGTGGCCCTATTCTGGTCTCCCTTATGGTGGTATAACACAGATGAACTCCCACAGAGCTGCACTGGCATAAGTAAAACAGTCCAAACCAAGTTTCTCTGGTTCTCAGTCCTCCGCTCACATCAACTGACCAGACCTGCTCCACCTAAAATGACAGGTTCGCCTTCCAAAACACTGCAGGAAATTTAGAGCTCAGCAGGCACAAGTCTGCAATCTTAAGGCAACATGTACATCAGCAGCTCCATAGCTCTATATCGAGGTGGACTACATGCAGTTGTGTTTCTGCCACACTGTAAGAGTAAATAAAACAGCTGAAGTGGTCTCCAGCTCTGCACGTATCAGCTATGGGGCTGATTCCCTCCTCCCTCAAGTCGGAGTAAACCCAGAGCAAAACAATGGGGCTGCACCAGCATAGAACTAGTACAAGATCTGAACCAGACCTTTTACCTTCTGCTTTGTAGGCAAATGCCCCTACTACTATGTTTTCATTTTGGACAGCTTCAGCACGGTTCATTTCACTCCCTCTCTCCAAGTTTGTATCTCTGCATATGAACAAAATTCCAACATTTCCAACTCAACAGTGATCAGCATCAGTGTTTAAACAGCACCATACATCTTTCTAAGACCGATCAACATTTCCAAAAAAGTGTCAATGCATGCTATTATCAAACATACAAAAAAACATCAAGAGTGCTGGGAGATGATACCAAGGATAAAGGTGATCACAAGACAGCACATTTAATTTTTATTAAAAATACCAAACAACTCACTCTTACTGTATCTATGCCACTTAGATGATCGTTCTAACCTGCAAAAATACAGGTACTTTTCCCCAAACTATTTACCTACCTACCTATAAAGAAAGAATGAAAGAAATATCAAGCACACACATTTATACCTCCTCAAACTTAGCAGGCACAATTCATATGAATGGAAAAGGAGGGTCTGGGGAGGTAGGGTGAGGTCGTATATCGGCTTTAGGGCACTGGGATATGAGAGAAGAAAATATCACATGCATCATTACCAAATAAGCATCAAACTGATAATAAAACCCCAAATTAAATGAATTCATATATGACATCCACTGAAAATCTCAAACCCTAACCACATGGAAGCTGGCAAACACCTCTTGCCGCTTCCCCTAAGTCCAGACACATCATCATCAAATAAGATCAAACAAACCTTGAAAATAAAGGAAAAAGAAGAAGAAACCAGTCTGGAGACAATCTTCCACAAACCACTTCCCTGCATTATTTTCAAATACATTTTACTCTCAAGCAGCTTCAGAAAGGAGTGGGGGTGAAAGAGACCCACTACTATATATATATATATTTAAAACTGGCTCAGCACCAGCACCAGCTCAGAGAGAGGGAGAGAAAAATAATTCTTCAAACACAATCCTTGGTACTTGAATAAAACGTTGCTAGCCAGCTGACGAAACCCTACATTGCCAGAGGGTTCCAAGTGGAGTGGATACACGGTGCTGCTCACAGTCTTCCTCATTTGCTATGATATCTGCTCCGTGGGCCTCATCTGTATATCTCCAATCTGGAAGAGACCAAGGCACGGTTTTACTGCAGCACTGAAGTCCAATTTAAACCTTGCACTGCTATTACAGTGGTAAAATGCACAAAGAGGAAGTTCGTGTGAATAGAAATAAGCCTGTCTGAGATATTAGAAATATAGAAAAGTGAATGTGACTTGTGCTTTTTTTCAGAAGGTATAAGCACACAAATAAGCACAGAAGAGAGTATAAGATGACATTGAATCATAAGAGTTTGTAATCAAGCCTTAAGTTTGGTCCTGCTTACGGAGGATCAAGCAGAAGCACTGCTTGTAGGCACCTCTCCACATCAGCAGGAGGTTTTATCCTCTTCAGCAGGAGATTTTATCCTCTTAAGGCAAAAAAGCCAGCTTGCATTAGAGCCAGGACACACAAGGTGCTGGGCCACCAGGCTGATCCCATGTCAAGATGATTGCACCTTGCTCTGAAGGAGCAGAGTTCACATCAGGGGTTTGCTAAGCCTCTTGTGACCAAAGTTTGCTTTTGCGACAGCAACTTATGTGTGGACTCAGCCAACATCCTAAACTTTGACACCATTCCTCCCTCCTCCCTCCTCCAGCTCAAAGCTGCTCATTATCTTGTTTCACTGGGGGGAAGTCCCTCTGGCAGTGTGAGCACCTTGCACCACCCTTGAGGAGCACTTGGCAGGATCCAGCCCAACACATTATTTGGCAGCTGGCAGAATTTGACCCAGCTGCAATACTACCAGCAAATCCCAGATGGCACTGTGTGGAAGGGCAAGACATGCCCATAGCCCTCCCATTCCTCCTGCTGCAGTCCTGCTCTGCAGTCAGAGCAGCTTTTGATGGATGCAGAGAGGTGTGAGTAGCCTGAGCAGCACAATCCCAAAGCTGCCATAAGGGAACTGTAAACAAACGTGATCACTGCTAATCCCCAGCTCCACTAAGCACACAGCTGATACCGCAGCTGCAACACTGATTAGCAAATGTCAGGGCAGCAGTTACCCTTTCCTCCTTCAGCTACCCACAGCAGTCCTCCAACACAACCACAGACTTACCTGTACATGAGGTGGGGCACTGAGGACATATATGACAGCATTAGCCATATCTTCAGCTTTGAGACACTGGGAAGACATGAAAGAAATTCTTAGACAAAGGGCACCTTAGGAGAAGTTAATCAAAAGATCACTCCTTTCCTAACCATCAATAACAAGTTTCAAAAGTGTCACTAGGGCATTTCAAAAACATGCAAGCGAGCAGGAAAAAAGTAATCCATTAAAAATTTAGCAAAGTGTCTGATGCTGATACCTCTCCATTTGCTGTGAATAATCTTTCCACAAAATGCTTTGAGGTGTCTGTTAGAACTACGATCCTGAAGTGCTGGGCAGAAAAACAGAGATGGAGACAATACCTCTCTCCAGAACTGAGAGGACGTTTTTCAGGTGTCTTTGCAGAATTAGGCTAAGGCAAAGTGCAAATGAGCAGCTCCTTGGCAGAAAAGAGGGGGCACCATGAAGATGAGTACAAGAGCTGCTCTGGCTCACCGCCTGGCTAAGCATCTTGCAAAGCTATTGGCACAGTAACTCTGCCAGGTCAAGCATCAGAGAATTACCAGAGAAGCACCAGAAATCCCGTGCTAGCCACTTGCAAGACAGCACACACGTTTCTTCTTGCCCATCCTTGTGTAGGCACATTTGCTTACTACAACTTCCCTTCAGTAAAGAAGTCCACAAACAATACAGGGAGTGAGAAACTGAACCTGATGAAAATTTGTGTAGTGTGCAATTATCAGTGCCATATCTGAGGTCTGACACTTGACTTTGAGGATGCCAACTATGCCGGAAAGCACTACACATTCTGCATAACTAACTCCTTGTGTGATTAGCCAGGAGAGAAATTGTTAAGCTATGATCAGAACCACTTCCCTCTGTTTCCATTTCTCCATGTCCTACCCGAATGCTCTCATAGGTTGCAGCAGCTCTCTCGGGGTCGTTATCATGAAGTTTAAAAGCAAATCCTGTTTCTACCAGTCCTGGAGATATACACTGGAAAAGAGCAGAGCACATCCTAATAGGATTTGTAATTCCCCTTCAGTGAAAGAATAAAAAAAAACAAAGGAGAGAAAAGATTTTAGCACTGAAAAAGCCAAAACACCCAAGCCTCTTCTATTGTGCTCCTTACCCACCCTTTTTCTAGGGGAATAGTTTAAGAGAGCAGACGTTGCCTTAATGATTGCTGTGGCAGGTTCCTCTGGGAAACTGCTGATGGATGCTTTCCTCCTCAAAACCCAAAGGGACGCAGAGGCAAAGAAAACAATGGAAAAGCTTGCAATATAAATTAACTTCTGGACACATCACTTCTGAGATGCAAGCTCTGAATGACAGCAAACAGCTTCAGCTGACTGCCCCCCTCTGCCGTCACGAGTCCCACACACTGCCCTGACAAGCAACTGCCCACTTCATGCACCCCCATAGTTTATTCTCTGACACAGCCCATCGCTGCTGCACCTTCTGCCCCATTGCCTTTCTCTGCCCAGGGAAACTGAGGCATGGAGCCTGTTTGGTGATCAGGGACAGGTGGCCACGGGGCTGGGACATTGACAGTGTGCCGAGTGCTATTTCTGCATTTCCTCGCCTGTTTCCCAAAGCAAAAATCTCTGCCCCACAAAACTTACCAGCTCCCTACCACCCGCAAAACAAGCAAAGAGGAAGGAAACCCCACAGTACTCACTGTAGCTCGTATATGAGTCTTTGCTTCTCTGAGTTCTTGCCTCAGCCCCTCTGTGAGTGCTGTTACCGCGTACTTGGTGGCGCTGTAAAAATGCACCACCGACTGTGGCACCACGCTGTGACCGTTCATGCTGAGGAGAGAGCAGAAAGGAAAGTGCTGAGAACCAACAGGATGGTCGAACCACCAAAATGAACACAGGAGGAGATGTTAATGTGGTGGCTATGTGAGGAGTTCCCCTCTCCCACACCCCTCTGAGGAGATGCACACCACCAGGTGCTCCTCGTGACACAGCTGCTGAAGGAGTTTCAATCTGCAACCTTACAGCAAATGATTGCCATTAACCTGCTTTGGTCTTTGTTGTATTTAGACCAGCAGAGGTTAAAAATGGGTGTTGGAAAACCAACCATCATATGGTTTAATGGTGGACTTGGCAGTGGTAGGTTAAAGGCTGGACCAGATGATCTTAGAGGTCTTTTCCCATCTAAATGAGTCTATGATTCTGGGATCACAATCCTTGGAAACTCTCCACTTTAAGGCATCCATCAGCCAACCATGAAAGGTGAAAGTCCCTCCGCTGAAATCCCCCCTGGCTGATCCCGCATTCCCCCCTCGCGTACCTGTTAATGTTAATAATATGCCCATCATCGATGTTCCTCTCCTTCATGGACTGATAGGCCTCTCGGGTGCAGATGCTCACAGCCATCACGTTGACCTGAGGGAAGAGAGAAGGGAAGGGGACTCAGGCCAGCAGCCCGGCCTGGCACCCCCGGAGCCTCCCTGCACACACAGGGCCGTAGATGAAGTTTTGTGAGACAGGCCTTGGCCTCTGACAAAAATTAATGGACTTAATTGTTTTGTGGGCAAGCGTGAGGGCTGAGTCCAAGGGAAGAGACACCAAAACTCACTTCCCCCCAGTCAGCACTCTGTCCAGGGGATAAAACTGTCTTGCACAGCACTGAGCACACAGGGGTTTGGAGAGCCCATGGGACACTAGCAGCAGGTAATTAGGTCAGCTAGTTAACGAGGAAATCCCCAGATACTGCCTGTCAGAAAGCCAGGCACTCACAGGCACTGCAGACCACACGGCCAGCAAAAAGCCTCCCACAATGAATCCAAATGAATCCAAAGATCACAGCGTGCCATGGCAGGGCTGCAGGGGGCAAAGAGCCCTAGAGAGATGAGAGCCACCAACCTGTCGTGCTGACATCTTCCTCAGCCCTAACTGGATAAGCCAAGGAAGGAAGGACAAGGTAATTAATCGAGTCCTTTGTCACGTAATCCAGCGCTTTCCAAGCACTTGCTCTTTGGACCAGCACTGCCCAGCACTCTGTGGATCAGTTAAACTCGGTCGTATCGCCTCTGCAAGGTGCCACCTTTAATGCATTGATGCCTTGAGCATTTGCTGCCATAAAATGCAGATTCAAAGTTTCCAGGAAGACAGAGATGTGGAAATTCCCCCAGTAGGAGTACAACAGCACAAAGGACCCAGAGGTGTGTGCGAGACCAACGAGCATGTCATCTTGAGCACTTAGCACTGCTGCTGAATTTACAGTGCTTTAGATTTAGAAGAGCAGCTGGAAGGTGGAAAGTATTTGCTGAAGCCCTCTAGAAAGGATGCAACCATTTCAACACCAGACACACTGGCAGGTCCCACCTAAAGGCATGTCACTTTTTAACCAGGTGAGCAGGCCAGACGGGTTTAAAAACACCACTGTGAGCTAAATATCCAGGAAGAACTACGTTTCCGATGAATCAGAAGTCAGGTGCAACTATAAATGGGAGAAGGAGCAGGAGCAAGGTCATGCGGACAGCAAACAACTGGCTATCATCTGTGTAAAACTCAGAAACAACTGGGTAGGCTAGCTAAAACTTGGCAGCACAAACGGACATGCAGCCACAGGAGGAACATCAGTTTGGAGACTAGAAAGCAAAAGGCAGAAAGGGTTTTAGAGACATCATTACTGAGCAGCACACTCCAAGGATGAGTGGGGTCAGCTGAAGGATCTCCCAGTCACTGCTTTTGTCTTGGTCATTATTTCCTATTAATAGAGGCCATGCTTATGGGTTTTGGCATAGAAAATAGCATTCTTATCTGATGTTATCACAAAGTACCCAGGCAACACAATAAGTAAAGTCATCACCCTATTCCAAGTGCACTTTGGTTGAGCACACAGTCACTGCTGGATATCTCAGCCATCGTACCTGGAACTAGAGAGATAAATTCCCTGGCACCAGGTTGAAGATTTACCTTGGCTGTGCAAGGAAGAAACTTAGCAGACATGTCAGCAGAACTGCACAACCACCTCAGCACTGGAGCGAAGCCCAGCCCAGGTAGGGCACTTGAAATCTTTGGGATTTCACAGTAAAAGTCAAGAAAAGCGGGAGTGACCTGCTCCAGTCTCATACACCAACCGAGTGAGGAGCCAGTCCTTTCACATATGGATCTTGGCAACTTTAAGTATTTAAAAAAATTAAAAAAAAAATAAATAAAAAAAACACCTTCATGACAAGGAATATCTTGCTTTCTTCCCTGCCTCCCACCAGGCACGGTGGTTTTGGTGCAGAGCTGCTGCCCAGCTCCACAGGCCACTAGAGGGTAACATCAGCCTAAAGCCAGGACTGAGCCAGCTCCAACGCTGTGACTCACGCTGAGCAATACTTCCCTGCGTGGGTAGCGTTACAACATTTTGACAACTACAGGCAAAGCAAGATGCTAATCAACAGCCACATGGGAAAGTCCAGAGCCTGTGTGCGATAAGACACCCTGGTAAAGCAAAAGAACTGGCTGGAAGGCAGCTGAACTGGGATTCCTCACTGTCTTTTCCCAGTAGCACCCACAGGGTTTTGGGATCCCTATTCCATTACAAAACACAGAGCAGGCACTCAGGAACCTAAAAACATGCCTGGAAAGACAGCAGGACTTAGGGCTACATCACTTCTAGAAACAATATAAAGGCCACTGCTACAAATATCCACGCAAGACTTTTTTCAGCACTTGTTCCTATTTTAAGAACAAGAGGTTCAAAGGTCTCTTAGCAAAGATGGCCAGTACATCTGTGCTCCACGTTTGCACAGCATGCTGCACAAAGCAGCAGGTCTGCGACTGTGGCATGTGTGCGCTAATGCAACAGAAACAATGAAGGCACATTTTCTAGTAATTAATGAGTTCCAATTGCCAGGTTGGAAGAACATAAAGGATCCTGTTCCTGGAAGTGCTGAGCAGTTCATTTCCCAGAATCAGGCTTTTTTAAGGCATCAAAATGAGTATTCCTGCTCCTAATCACCAAATAAAAATGCCGTTTACTGAAAACATATCCATACACAGATGGTATATAAAAGCCAGAAGAAGAGAGCCTCGCTGGTCAAAGAATAACGCCAAGAAGAATCAAACCCAGTTAGTGTTTACAGGAGCAAAGGGATGTGTGCTGCGGTCCTTTGTGCCTGGAACAGTGCAAGTGGAAAGTTCAGCTTGAATTCCTGGCTGTAAAGGTCAGTAGGTAAAACATGAAGGAGCTGCTCAGATCCCAGAGCCCGCAGTCAGTGTGTACACAGCACCCGGCCCCGGCTACTCCCGCGGGGATCGGGGACGGCCGGAGGACTTTGCTCCAGCCTCACGTAGAGCAAATCTTGTGAACAAATGTAAAGAAAAGAGGGGGAAGCTGTAAACCAAAAGAAGGGCTTACAGCCTGCCCGAGATAAAAGGCTTCCTCACTTGTGCACACCGAATTTGCCAGCTGACAGCACTGGGCTCAGCACCGCTGGAAAGCAGCGGAGATGCAATTCCTAACCAGAGACCTCTGCAGCCCTGGGAGAATAAGCTCCTGTAGATTTCTCCCTTAAGAGCAAATACCAGACAATAAGGAACTGGAACTTTAAAAAAGAGGAGGAATAAGTAAATGAAAACATGACTTGACCTGTTAGAGGTATAGCAAGAAAATTTATGGAATGGGCATACTGAGAGGGGAGCCTGGAAAAAGACGGGCAGCCTCAAAGCTCATAAAAAATGCATGGAAACAAAAATCGATTTACCTAAAAGAAAAAAATGCCTTTAATTTAAAGCCCTAATGCCTCTCCAATCAATACATCGATGGCTGTTTAGAAACTTTTCCTGTCTTGCAGCCCAGCAGAACACTGAAAACTCTCCAGCCGCACCCCAAACCAAGCTGCTCGCCAGCACCTTTCTCCAGGCTGCCTGTGGAAGAAGCCTCCCTGCTCCCGCTCAGCTCTGCAAAGCCCAGTGGCCCGTGAAAGGCGCTGGCAACCTTCCCCCGTCCTGACCCCGAGAGCTTCAGAGCATGTAGAAGAAATGGACGTGGCGAGTGCTTCCCTGGGGCTGGCGTGCGCGGCGGGGAGCGCTGTCGGTGCGGATCCCTCCCCCAGACCCTGCTGCCCCTCAGCCCCGGCATGCTTGGGAGAGAGACTGCCAAGCAGGGAGGCTGCAGCCACAGAACTGGATGCTCACAGCGAAAGGAAAAACCCACAGCTATTTCCAGTGTTTGCAAGCAGGCTGAAAAACAAAGCCCAGGCTTGGCGGGGCTGCTTAGGCTGAGGTGGGTCATCATGCGTTCAGTTCTGGAGTGTCCCAGGGCTTCACTTTTGCATTTAAAAAATAAAAATAAAAAATTATTCAGGCAATTAAACACAAACCAAGTGCAAACCCACCAGCTGCTGGGAAGCTGATGAGGAATAAAAAACATCTGCCTGTATATGAAGGTGGCTTAGGTGTCTCAGTCTATTCCCAACGCCACAACAGCAAGAGCATTTTTACCAAGCAAATGAGAACAGACACACAGCAGCGCAGATCACCTCTGGGAATAAAACATGCCCCCAGCCTGGTTTCCTAACCCTGCCCTTGTGGATCAACGGCCCTGCCACTCCTCCCACCCCATCCGTCATCCTGAAGCAGCTCCAAACCGTGTGTGCAGCAGCGCCTGAAAGGAGGGTGACCCCACAGGCTCCCAAACCCCACTTCTGGCCGCTGCAAACACCAACACAGATGGTCTCATGCAGGACGATCCCTGTTCCAAAATCTTGCTCCCTAAAATCAGCAGAAGATGAGACCAAGGGAGCACCGAGACCTGAGCAGCCAGGGAACAGAGCACGAAGAGGAGAAGGCAGTGGGTAAAAGCCACATCCCCTGAGAGCCTGCTGCCTCAAAGAGGACAAAAGGTCAGAAGAACAAAGAAAAAGGAGCACAAGGGACAGGCAGCAGCACACAGAGACGTCCACACAAGCCATGATGACGGAGACCGGGACAAGAAGCTTACAAGGTGCAGGCGACCCACGGGCCCAGGCTTGCAGCGAGACAATGCCCTGCTTTGCACCAGCCCAGGCTCAGCTACACTTCACTTAATTTTCTTTAACAACTCCATGGCAACTGGGAGAGGGAGATGCAGCAGTGCCGTGACCCGGGCTGGGCAACCCACAAAAGCCCGGCCGGGCAGACAAAGCCGAGCAGAGCTTGCTTTGGCTGCACTCACAGCAGCGAGCAGAGCAGCCAAAACCCTAACGAGAACTTAATTAGCCAGGATACGGCAGCTCTCACCCTGGCAGCAGGAGTCTGAGGCCTCGACGTGCCTGCCTGGCTCGGTTTGCTCAGCCCCTGGAGCCGCTGGGCACCACAGGGCCTACAGACACGGGCCGACTGCTGCCAGGCACAGCAGGCCCCAGGCCTGTAGCAGCTCTTCAAACATATTTTTCTTCACTAGGACAAGCTCACACAGCTGTAGGAGGTGCCTCAAAGACGCCATGGTTTACTGAAAGGTTCAAATCCTGCCCCTGTGAGGGTGCTTTACACAAAAATATAGAGCATAGGAGGGGAAAAAATCACCTTTGTGAAATGCTGCTGCTTCAGCAGCTCTCCTGCCAGAGCTAAAGCAAGGCCAGCACAAGAGGACCGTGGCAAGGGCAGGCAAACTTCCAAGGTCCCACAGCCACGGGTGCCAGTGCTGTGTGCCAGAAGTTGCCAAGTCCCAAAACGACGCACAGCAGCACCTCGGGACAGCAGCACCCCGGGGGCAGTGCTGCTTGTGACCGGCCTGAGCCATCTGCACGACCTCCCTGTTGGGCAGACGAAATTGGCTCCTTCATATCGAGCTCTAACCAGATTATGGGCAGAAAATGAAGCTTCAAAGACAAAAGCATTACAGCTTTTTAAGCCAAAAAGAACCTGCCCATTTTAAAACCCACTGCTAAAACTAACAGGATTAGCTACAAAAGCCAGTGTTTGGTATTCAATTATTTCCTGTTTTAAGGAGAAAAAAGAAGCAAGGCCCATCAGCTTTCAGAAAGACGTAGAACTAAAGAAAAAATGCTACTGAAGGTATTGAAAGTTTTCGTGCTCCAGGGCGAAGGCAGGAGGCTCAGCAGTGCATGATGCCTTTCCACTTCCTAACCAGCCGACCCAAAGCCAGGTCGGAGCCAGATGGGAAGTGAGTCCTCAGCTCCACACACAAAATAAATAGATGGGTACACTGGTGCTGGCAGCCAGAATAAATAAAAATCTACGTAACGCAGCTGAGTGTAGTTTAGACAACCGGGAAGCCGGTAGGAAAGCTCTCCCTCATCTCATCATTTCCACAGTTTGGATTGATTTGAATAGATAAATAAATAATAAAAATAATAATGTGATAGTTCTCTCTGGTCCCTTTGTCATCCTTCTTACAGGTGGCTGTAACTCGAGGACCCAGCCCCCAGAAGGCAGAGGCTGCTGAGCCCAGCGGCACTACTCACGTCTATCATCGTCCGCCAGCCCTCCGTCCTCCCCGAGAGCAGGGGCTCCGGCCGAGCCAGCCCCGCGTTGTTGATGCACACATCAACTCCCTGATGAAGGGTCTTGATGGCGGAGAACATGGACAGGATCTCCTCTTCGTTGGAGAGATCGCACTTGTAGGGGATGAGGGTCCCAGGGTAGCCGGCGCTCTGGCATTCAGCTGCCAATTTCTGAGGGAGAGAGAAAGGAAGACAAAAACCATCAGCCTCCTCTCCTCGGGGACAGCCCCAGGAGACCAGCGCTGCTTTTTCAGACAGTGCGAGGGGAGCAACGGGAACACATTTACCCCTGCCACCACTGCAGGCTGCCAGACACAAAGCAAGCACCAAAGCCCGACACGAGCCCTCCCTCAGCCTTCGCTGGGCACAGCTCCCCCGCTGCACCATGCCACAGGAGGTGCGGGGTGGCTGAGAGCCCAATACCAGCGGCTGCTTGTGCATGGCATTTCGGGTGACACCACGCTGAGACAGATGCCTTTGGACAGCCTGGCATCCGGGCAGAGCTTCCGCCACATCGCTGGGGAATTCAGGCTGGCACTGGGACTTTGAACTGTCTAGCCCTGACTGTGCAAACACGTGCTTAAGTAGCACCCGTGCCTCAGCAACAGAGCCCCATCTGCTATAAGTGGTTGCTTGTATAACATAATTTTGCATTGACTTCAGTTTTTTAACCTTTTTCTTTTAAAGAAGGAACAGACTCGTGCGTGTCTATCACCCTGAGCCACACAGGTCGAGCTGGCACAACACAAATATTGCTGTGGCACCGGGCGGGGAGCAGCCACCGTGCTGCAAGTCTGCCACGGGGATAAAGGACGTGGCAACCGCAGGCCTTACAATTCCTCATTAGCCATTATCAACAATTATTCCGAGCCTCCAGATCTTTTATCAGACTAGACGATATGAAGCAAAGGAAAGGCCAAGAGCTGCTGCTGGCCGTGTGTGTTAATGATGCTGCAGCCACCGCACCGAAGTCTCTGGAGGATGCCCTTTACCCCCCTGATGCTAATAAGAAGCAGCATCTCATCTCTGATGTGTCATATTAGAGACGGTGACAGCTTCCAGCGCGAGGCGGCAGCCACGTGATGTCTGGTTTCTGTGGAGAGAGGGACTCTGGCTACAGACGTCCACCAAATCACTCGAACCGCATCGCCTGCAGCAGCCTCACCAATGTGACATTTCGGCGGGTGCAATAAAGCTCTCGTCCTGTCAGAGGCAGCTCCCCGGCTCCTCCCCGCATACCAAGGTGATTGCAACCCACAGCAAAAAGCAGGAGCGAGGCCCAGCGGAGGAGCGAAAGGAAGCAAAAGGCAGCGGGGCAGCGATCGCACACCCACGGCATCCCAAGCGCCCGGCCTAGGCCATGCTCCAGAACATCCACACCACAGCAAAGCCCAGCTCAGCCACAACAGAGCCAGGGCACCCGCTGCAGCACCCCTGAGCACCCAAAATGACACCGTGAGGCCCGTGCTTGCCTCGTTTGCTTGCTGCGAGGCACGGCGTCAGCTCCCCGGCCGGCCCAGCCCCTCCTGGCGCCGCAGGGAGAGGCGCGGAGCGATGCCCACGTTTTGTTGGAGGAGGCACACGACAAAACCTGCCCCTCATCTGCACCAACACACACAGGAGCCCACGCACAGCTCGCCCACGAAGGCAGGAGGGACAGAGGAGAGCAGCGAAGGCGTCTGCCTCCTGGGGAGAGCTGAGCCCCGTCCCTTTCAGCAGCTGCCGCAGGGGCAGAAGCCCCAGCTGGCAACTTGGTCAGATGCCACCAAGTCCAAAAAGGCAGGAAAAAACACACGAAGATGTGAACTGACCCCCAAGTCTAAATCATGAGATGTGCTCCTGGTCCCCACACTTACAGGGGATTTTTTTGGTGACCAACTGTCTCCTCCCCAAGCCGTACACTGAGCAGGGCTGAGCACCCTCCCAGGGACAGGGAGGCACAACCAGGACCTCCACATCCCCCTCAGCACGTTGACTTTCGTTGCTCTGAGGCAAGTAGCTCTGTTCAGTACGGGATTTTCACCCTAAGACCGCATCAGAGGCCGTGCACATCCCTGAACAAGTTTAGCTCCTCGGGTTTGCCTCCCGGGGCTCTCAGCAGCAGACCACGGGTCTCGGACCAAAACCCCAACCTAAAGGTCTGGCCCAGCAGCTGCTCTCCTTTCTGGGCACCGCAGGCATTGCAGCACCATGTGAGGAGCCCCGAGATCAATACATCCCCACAGCACTGTGCTCCCCCGAGGGCTCCGCTGGGGCTGAGAGGCAATATTTCTGCCCAACAGAGAACAAAGGCACCCCTGGGACCGAATCGCACCTCTCTGCACCCTCCCGGGGGCGGTTTCACTGTGCTGTACGTGCTGCAATCCTGTTGACTACATGCTGATAATGTCCGAGAGCTATGTATCTCTCATCTTCAAAAAAATTTTAAAAGCTTTTTAAAAGATCAAAGCACGCGTTTGAGAAAACGGCTTGGGAAAAATCCGCAAGGGCGGCATTTAGAAAATGAGAAGCCGTATGAAGGGCTGTGGGAAGATGCTAAAAGTACCCCGGGGATGGATGCTCCTGCAAAGACACAGCAGGAAATCGGGCAAGGCTGCCCTCAGCCACGTTCTTCATAAACTGGCACGGAGCTGACAGCTTTGGGGCTGCCCAAAGTGGAGCATCCCCCGGAGAGCCATCCATGCGGTATGTGCTCGTGGGGCACCGCGGCTTGGGTCTGGCACTTGTGAAATTCTTCTTGGTGTGCCACGAGGGATTCGGGTGAGTCCCAAAAGAGGACGTGAGCTCTGAACACCACGGGCTGCAGCATAGGACAAGGGGGCAGCAACGAGGGGTGCTTTGGCCAGCAGCCCTCCTTAGCTTATGGCCTAGATGCACCAAGAGCAAGCTCTGTCTTGCTCAGAGACGGGCTCCTCTGCCACAGCTGACCAGAGAAATGCGCCCACAAATATCTGCCAAGATCCTGCTTTTCCTGTCTGGTTTCTCACCGCCTCAAACGGGAATCCGCACAGCTCCTTTCATCTCAGGCTCCCCTTGTGCTAACAAATTCTCTTTGAAAGCAAAGCACCAAACACCACTGACAACCAGGCTGAGCTGAACGTGCTGCACACATCTCGAGGTGAAGCCACAGCCGTCACAGGCTCTTCAAAGCATCAGCTGCGGGTAAGTTTGCAAAAGGAGACTTATGTAAAGTAACTCTCTGAATTAGGGAGCTCGCGATATTTTTCCAGAGCATCAATCAAGTCCCTCAATTAATGTTCGCTCCCCTTAAAGGAAAGCAGACGCAAGAGGAGAAAAACAAACAAAAATAAAAAGCTGCTTTTCCAGGTTTCATGAGCGATGAGTGACCACGTATTGCACCAACAGAGGCGAGAGCAGGGGCACCTCCAGCCGCTGGAGATGAAGATGTGAAACGAGACCCAAGCAGCTCTGCACTTCTCCGTTATCACGGGATGCTTGCAAATGGCCTGACAGCTGCCCAGAGCTACTGGCTTACACCAGAAGAACACAACATAAGGAAAAAATAATGACACTGTAGGTGAAAATGTTTAACCTAGAGCCATTTATTGCCATGGACGCAACAAATGAGCAAATGGGAAAAAAAAACACCAAGCACTGACACGTAAGTGAGACAAAGAAGAATACTTGGTTATGATGTTTACCATGTATTATTTAGTTGTCTGATTTTAAAGGTCCAAAGGGATGCCTGACGTTTATGGGATGTTTTCCAAATGTTAAGAGTAGGTTCATATTCCCAAGGAAGGGTTAATGCTCCTCGTGCACGAGACACTCACAAAGGGCCCAGCACCGCGCATTTCGCTTCAGCCCTGGTAAAGCGGTTGTACAAAACTAATTGATATCAACATTTCAGGGGACTCTTAGGGGGAGGAAAAAAAGAAAAGAGTCACGCAGGGCTTTATTTGGCCAACCATCCTATTAACTTCAGACACATTTAGTACGGAGAGATTAAAGCCAGCAGAAGCCATTAGGTAATTTTTAATCTGACCTGCCATTCCTCGCAGGTACGTGCATCCCACGGCCTCAGCTTATGCTTAAACACATCGCTGCGCCCAGAAACCAGCTGGAAAGGAACTCAAGTCACCCCCGTTACTTTCTTTATCCAAAGGAAAGGAAGGAAGAAAAAAAAAACTACAAATAGCATCACGGTTGTGAAAGAAAACTGGGGGCTTACTGATCCTTCCACTGTACCGATTGGCAAGTTGGAAGGTTCGTTTAATTAAGCTTTAATACCAGTGCAACCGCACAGAGGAAGAGATATACACTGAGTACAGCACCAGGCTGGGGTTGTTCTAGCAGCTTCCACAGCGTGTTCAGAGACCATGGGCAAGATTCAGAGCTCCCTTTCCTTGTCTGTGCAATGGAGATAATCACAGCCAGCCCCTTCCGAGAGCCGCCAGGCACCTGGGGCTTTTTGCTTGCATACGATTATTGCTTCGGATTTCTTCCAGCTCCTTTTGTGTGGCTTCAGGTCCCCAGACAGGGCCTCCACAGGAGTCTGAGAGGAGTTTCCAAATGAATAAAACGGTAAAGTGATTCTCCTGCCCTCTCGTGAGCTTTCAATCAATGCTTTTACTCCTTGTTTGCAAACCGCTGTCCCTCAGCTCAGATCCTTTTCTGCTCCAAAACAAGGCACAACGGTGGGGAGAGGAGAGCATGGAAAATAAGGTTTATGGAGAAGCAAAGTGCAGAACTCAGCTGGGGGCACCCATGTGAGAACCTAGGAGGAAGGAAGAAGCCTTACACCCATTTTCAGAGGGTTTACCTGAGGTGCATCTGAAGCACTGACTGCCTACGGTACCCGACAGCGCTGTCGCACCTCGATGTTGCCCCCACAGCTCCATCTCACACCGGCTGCCACCCAGGCTCTGCAGCTGGGCCCCAAAACCAGCGCCGTGCCTGCCCTTCACCTGCACAACCAGCCAGTAAATCGAAATGCATCAAATCCTGCAGCAGAGGTTTGAGGCACACAGCGATACCCTGAACAGCTCAGGCGTGATTGAGGCCTGTGGAAGCCATCACCACACACCCACCCCAAATTGCGCCCGTTGCAACCAAACACCTCGCCGTGCTTTGTGTGTAAGACTTGGGAGCACTCACGAGGACAGCAGGGATCTGTCCCCAGCTCACCCGGGGGCTTTCCCTGTTCCCAG